TCTTATCATTAAATGTGTAAGTCTTGTCCTGATTTGCCTTTCCAAATTGCAGCATCTTACATTTATCTAAATTAAACTCCATCTGCCTTGTAATAACCTGTAATTATTATTAAGTACAGAACTTGGTTTGGGCTATCAGCTCGAATCTGAAAATCAGGTAAATTGAGGAATTTTCTGTACTTACTTTGTTTTGACTCTGAGAATCATGGAGCTTGATTTCCAATGCACTATCCTAGTGAATTGTGATACTATTATTATGAGGCTTATAGACTATTCCAACCGGTATCATCTTCCCCTTTTTATTTCTTACCTCCCCAATATGAATTCTACATCATCTGATCCATTTCTTGGTATCACACATATTCCACCCCATTGCACTTTCCTTCATCGAAATGTAGAAACATAGGAAATTGGAGCAACTCAATAGCCTTTCCCACTTCCCCCCCATAGCCTTTGGTCCCTTTAGCCCAAGTGCTGTAGGTAACTCCACCTTGAAATCATACAATGGTTTGGCATGGACTGCATTCCGTGGTAGTTAATTCCCCAGGCTCACCACTCTCTGGGTGAAGAAGTTTTTCCTTAGCTCAGTCCTAAATAATTTACCCGTATCCTTAGACCGTGAGGCCTAGTTCTGGATTCCTGGGTCATCGGGAACATTCTTCCTGCATCTAACCTATACCTTCATTCCTCACTGTCCTTTCAAAAAAGTAACACTCTGGAATATATAATTCCCAGCTTTGACCTTTCTTGTAATCATGTCTCTGTAATGGCTATAAAGGCTGTACCCAATAATTTTTTTCTGAATACAATGTGCATTTTAGTAAAGAGCCATTATTTTTGACTTTTTATTCATTTTTAACCTTTGACCATATTTACTGCCATTTTTATGTTTGCACACCTTGTCCCATTCTAGCTATCATCAAAATAGTTGTCCCGCAATGCCACCACCTCCTTTTCCTTTATATATCAGGTATAGCCCCTTAGACCTTCCTATTTCATTTAAAGCTCTCTCTACAATCCTAGTGATTGGATTCACAGGACACTGGTCCCAGTGCAGCTCAAGTGAAGCTCATCCCACCAGAACCATTCTCTTCTACCCCACAACCTAAAAGCCATTGCTCTGACACCAGGCTTTAAACCACACATTTAACTCCTTGCCTTTATTAATAGTACATCAGTTGGCTTGTGGCTTAAGTAGTAATCCTTGGGGGTCTTACCTTTTAGTTTAGCTCCTAACTGTTAAAAATCTTTCAACAGGACCTTCTTTCCAGGCCTATTAGCCTGTCCTTAACCCTGGCAGTGGGCGGGTGACACATGCTTCTGGCTGCAGAGAACCGTATCTACCTCCCTAATTATACGGTCCCCTACCATTACTACATTCCTATTTCCAGCTCCTTGTATCACTGTGCTACAGTCAGTTTGATTATACTCCCTGCAGAACTCACTCCCATCCACGTGCCTCATAAGAACCTTGTAACTTTCGGACAATTACAGGGATAGAGGTTCCTCAAGGGCTGCCTCTTGGGTATCTGCCTCATCTCCGTTCACATTCTCCTGTCGCTGATCACAGACCGGAATGGATTACCTAATTTAAAGGATGTAACCACCTCCTGGAGTAAACTATCCAAGTAACTACTCACCTTTGCTGATGTGGCACAATGCCTGCAACTCAGACTCAAACTCTTCAACCCCATGTCCAAACCTGCTCAGGCTGTAAACACTTGTTCCATTCATTGTTTGTTGTGGAACAGCTTGTGGGATATCCAGCAGCAACCACATACATCACACAACACTGCCACCTCGATTGTATCTTATTTGTTATTAGTTAAATTACTCAGGAATCCCTGTTCTTTACACTTGAGGTCTACCAAGTCAACATTTATTTGTAATTTTTCCCTTCTTTTACACACTAAAATCATCCTTATTTTTGAGAAAAAGGACTAGAGACCTAAACACAAATTGCTGGCCTTACTTACATTAATACTCTCAAATGAGGTCCTTTGTTTTGGTAAACACAATTAAAAATACCTCTTTCCTTCATCTGCTGAAATGTGAGACACTCAGCTCCAGCACTTTATTGTAAGTTGTACTGAGTTTGCTACTTATATCTGCTCTGGTCACAAAGGGCCTGAGCTAGCTAATGGGGATCCAGTTTCATTCTGTGTTTAATTAGACTGCTCTTTCAATGCTCTCCTTGAAAATAAACCTGCTCAATACTTGCAATTACAGAATTTTAAAACTTCACATTTCACTTTCATGCCAATTACAAATGACAGTCTAAGTTAGCCTAAAGTCAGTTGGGCAGAAAGTGGCAAATGGAATTCAACCCAGGGAAGCGTGAAGTGACATACTTGGGGAGGTTAAACAAGGCAAAGGAATCCACAACAAATAGAAAGACACTGTAAGGCGTAGGGGCAGCGACTATCCAGTGATCCCTGAAGGTAGCAGGAGAAGTCAATGAAGTGGTTAAGGTAGCATATGGAATCTTTCTTTCATTAGTCAAGGTATTAGAATACAAAAGCAGGGAGGTTATGCTGGTGATAAATAAAACACTGGTTAGGTCACAACTTGAGTACTGTGTGCAGTTCTGATCATTTCATGACAGAAAAATGTAACTGCACGAGTGAGGGCACAGCGATGTACAAGGAAGTAAAGTGTCTTGGAAATAGCAGCAATGCAGAATGGTCAGACAGGCCAGGGTTGTTTCCTTTAGAACAGAGGTGGCTTTGGAGAGATTTGTGTACAAGATTGAGAGGGGTTGGGATGGAGTAGATAGGAAGAACACATTTCCCTTAGCAGAGAGTTCTATGACTAGGGGGCAGAGTTTTAAAGACATTGGGAGGATTAGAGAGAAGATGAGTAAAAAATGTTTCACCAGTAGGTGACAGGAGGTGTGAAAAACTCTGCCTGAAAGCTAACTAGAGGTAGAAACCCTGGAATCCTTTAAAAGTGCCTGGATATCCACCTCACATCCAGGAACATCTAAACACAGACAAATTTTGGAAAACAGGGCAAGGAAAGGGCCAGGAAAACAGCAGCCTTCAGTGCTGATTCCTGTTGGCACACACTGCATGCAGGAGAAAATGTTGCTATAGCTCTGTGGGGTATTTGAAGTTCCATGGCCTAGGGATGTGAACTGGGAATGGGTGAAGAATGGTCTTTAAAATTCTGAAGTTAGCTCTGCCACTGACTGTGTAAACCTTGCTGAAAGAAAATAAGTTAGAATGTGGGTAGTCCAGCTTGTCAATCACCCAGAGTTCAGCTCACCAACATCTCAAAGCTCATGGCCTGTGACAGACTGGAGGACAGCAATGAGACTAATACCCTACAGGCCAGCTGAGTGTTTATACTGTGAGAATTGATTAACTCGCACAAATTGTGATATTGTACAATGCAAACACTCATCCAGCACTAGACATAACCTCAACTTTGACCCTGTTTTAAAGGCTCCTGCATCACAAACTGTGGAGATTCAGCTGACTGGGAATTCATTCAAATAACAAACAAATGGCAGAGTTAGGCAAGTCGGAGTAAAGGAATAAAGAGAGAGAACTGTTGATGTTGGAAATCTGAAAAAAAAGCGCTGCAGAAACTCAGTAGGCCTGGCAGCATCTGTGCACTGAGAATAACTGGGAAAAGGTAGGGTTTATATTGAGGAAGACAGGGCGAGGGAGAGAGAGATTGTTGATGAAAATTTGAGACAGAGATAAATGCTTGAGAAGGTGCTAACAAGAAGTCTAAATGGTTGAAAATGGGTTGGAGAAACTCAGCAGGTCTCGGTGCATCCGTGGGAAGAACGGACAGTTAATGTTTCAAGTTCAGTGACTCTTCATTAGAACATCGTGGGCGTGAGATTTCCATTCACTGGAAAATCCAGCCCACTTAGACTGTTACAGAAGGAATGGGATCAAATATAACAATCCATGAAGCTGGTCCTCACGGCATTGACTAAAGGACTTGGAACAAAATAGCAAATTCAACCCCGTTGACCTACTGATGTAAACATAGCCACTGTCACTGAGCTTTAAGTACTTTGCCAGCTGGCAAGGGCACGGAATGCACTCTGGGTGGTGAACTTCAAGGTCCATCAGTGCCAGTAGTCACCGGCTAAAGGACCTAGGACCTATGTTCTAAAGCGCATAGGTTGGTCTGCAGCAGGGGGATGAGGAACCCAGGGGGAAAAAAAAACTTAACCTCATCTTCACCAGTCTGCGTGCTGCAGATACATATGTCCCCGGCCATATCGGTAGGAGAGGGAGCAGCACACAGTCCCTGTGGAGATAATCTCCATCATATTATGTGGCACTACCCCCGGATGACCTCGGGTTAAGAGCAGCTATAATGTGGGAAACCAGCCAGGAGCACATTAGAAAGGTTATGTATAGAAGTAACAAAAAACTAGGATGAGGATTTGAGCAGATAAGACTGGAACAAAGTTGACTGCATGTCACAGAAATGGAAAACATGTGTTAGCTTGCAGAATGTCTAAGTGCAATACAGTGCAATCAATTAATTTCACAAACAAGGGACAGAGTTCACAGGCCAAATATATGGCAGAACTTTGTCATTTGGGTCACATCAGCATTCTGCCTCGGCTGTATCAGCTCACAGACTGATATCTACAATCTGCTAATATTTTTTATGAATGTCGTTAACAATATAATTATGACCAGATAACCTGTTTTGTGGTGTTGATTGAGGGATAGACATTAGGCATGTATTAGTAACCTACACTCTGAGCAGGTAAAACAACATACCAAAGTACAGGGCTCCCAAACAAAAAAAAACAAAAATGCTGACTCGCCATTGATACAAGATGTAGCAATCCAGTTCTGGTTACGTTAAATTCACAAGAATAAATTGTACCCAATGAACGAACTAAACCAATGTTCTTCCATGATGGACCATAAAGCTGCTGACGAAGGACCACAAATCTTTTGTCACTGAGGCACAGTGCAGAGCTGTGTTTGTGTAGAAATCAGAATAAAAGATGAGGCAGGTTCAGCCAAGGACCATTTATTTTAGCAAACGACTCTGTAGCTAATTGATAGCTTCTCTCATGAATCTTCATGAGGATTATGCAAATGAAAAAGAGTTTACCTTGACTGTAGATGCAGTAACACAAACATGACCAGAATTCACAGGGACATCAGCTTTGCCACCTGTACCATCCCTGTCCTATCCAGCTGCAATAAACACACTCTCATTGCAGCCTCCTCGGGTAATCTTCATCTCCAAGTCTCCATCTTCAGACTCTATCCTCAAAGACACTCACATTCCCCTCCAAAACCTGTCTCAGTCTTTCAGCCTTAGTTCTATGCATATAAATATTCTTTAGCTCTTCCATTGATGGGTTCAGCAGCAAACGCTGCTCCTTAGTCCATCTCCATCAGGTTGCTGCGAGATTCTCGGGAAACCATGAGACGCATCAACTGGTTCTGGAACTTCTCGAACTTCTTCACATCCTGAGCTTGGTCTGTCTTGTATTGCAAACACTGGGCATTGGGAAGAGGAAAGAGGAGGAGGAGGGAGCAAAAGACATTATGAAATGAGTGTCTCCTCTAAACATTATAGTCAACAATGCACAAGGATCCCTCCTAGTCCATTTATTACGACCTATACAAGCTTCCTCCAACTCCAGCAACATATCCACCTATTCCTCTCCAACAGAGACTTAACAAGCCTCTCCTTAAATGCAATTACAATTACTCACAATTATTCCCTGTGGTAACAACTTCCACATTTACACAACTCTGAGTAATGAGGTTTATTGGTCAATTTCTTTTTGGATTCATTCTTTCCCTTCTATAACCAGAACTGGAATGCTGGGAATTGCTACTCATGTAGCACAGAACAGTCCACTGGATCCAATCAGGTTTAATGATGGAAAAATGCTGCATTCAGGAACCCTCCCAATCTGCTTCCTCTACATTGAGGACCGTGAGTCTCGATTCCCTTCTCCCAGGTTGGCTTCTCTCACTTCTTCTTGGAAGTATTACACTGTACGCTCTTTTCACTTTCTGTGGTAGCAAGTTTGCCCCATATTCTCCTCACTCTTTTGATAAACACTTTTCCAAATTCCTAATTAGAGTCTTCCTGACTATGTTAAAATATCAAGTTATGCTATTGCCCACAAGAGGAAATTTCCTTTATCGCGTTTCCATCAAAAAATTTCCTAAGTTTAAGCTTTTTACTAGGTTCCCTGCTAGTTTTCTCCTTTCAGGCCCAGCTAGTCCCAACACAGCGAACAATCGATTTCCTGCTCCCTCCATGCGCTCCACTTTCATTGAGGAAAGTCCACACGACAGGCAAGACAGTTTCAGGATCACACATGCAAAGTAAACACTCACCACAACATCATCAGTCACTTTCATAGAGAGAAACCCAGCACAGTGCCGATACTTAATGACCACACGAACCTGCAACACAAAGGGCACAGTAAACTGTCAGTCCAGGACAGGCAGGAGATATTGGGAGTTTGCTGGAGATGCGGAAAGCAGAGGAGCATTGGGTGCACAGACATTGGAAAAGGAGGGTGTCCAGGAAACTTTCTGGGTGGATACTACAGTGGGGTGAGATTGTTTCAGATATAGTTGGAACTGCAGATGCTGGAGAATCTGAGATAACAAGGTGTAGAGCTGGATGAACACAGCAGGCCAAGCAGGATCAGAGGAGCAGGAAACGTCAGCCTTCCTGCTTGGCCTGCTGTATTCATCCAGCTCTACATCTTGTTATCTCTTACTACAGTGGGGTGTTGATATTGGGGTGGTAGCAGATACTATTAAGGGGGAGGGGTATTTGGGGGTGGGGTTGGTTAAAAGAAAAACAAGTCCCCAAGTCCAGATGGTTACTGTGACGGGCAAGGGGGTACAGGTTCAAGGTGAGGAGGGGAAAGTTTAAGGGAGATGTGCGAGGGAGGTTTTTCATGCAGAGACTGTAGGAGCCTGGAACACACTGCCAGAAGAGGCGATAGAAGCAAGCACACTGGTGACATTCAAGAAGGAGCTGGATGGTTACATGAATAGGGAGGGAATAGAGGGATGTGGATCAAATAAGGGTAGAAGGTTTGTTTTTTCATTTTAGTCAGGGCATGATGGTTGGCACAGGCTTGGAGAGCTGAAGGTCCTTTTCCTGTGCTGTCCTTCTCTTTAGTTCGATCCAAGATATTAGGGTAGAAGAGAAACACAGTCAGTGCTGCTATGTACAGAGAGGAGTTAGTGGTGTTGGTGCTGGCCAGGGGGCTGGATGGTATCGGTGGGGCACAGACACCGGGGGGAGGAGGAGGGGAATGGGCGGAGAGTGGGGCGAGGGGAATGGGCGGAGAGTGGGGCGAGGG